TGGTGGAGGGTATTTAAAGTTCGGCCCGGCTGAGTTTTTTTACTTGTTTTTATTTACAAATTTTCGAGCAAATTTGCAATAAATATAAAAATTGTGAAATTAAAAAAAAAAATTAAAAATCTTGAAATTTTGAGTAAGGATCTTAAGGGTTCAGATAAGGCTGAGTTTGTGGAAACTTGTACTAAAACGATACGAAAAATATTAAAAGGTACTAGATATAGTACCCTTGTTCTTGAGGAAGCAGTAGAGCTAGAACTTAAATTTTGGAATGAGGGTCAACGATGGAGTATATGAAAGATGTCTGAAAAGAGTTTTGAAAAATCGTACTATAAGTGCACTAAAAGTACTAAAATGTACTATATTCGGTGCCAATTCGTTTCATGTGAAAACTTGTAATTTGGATGGGAATCAATGTTGAGGAATAGAGTCGATGTAAATAGTTAGTTTTGGAAGTGTGTACTCATGTATACGAAAAGTACTAAATGGTACATAATTTAGTACAATATAAAATTAGAGGAACGGATGGAGCTCGAATTCTGAAATTTAAAATTAACATTACTGGCGGAATGTAAGATTGGCGGAATGTAGAAATAAGATTACCATTGCATACTAGGATGTAGGAATGTTGGTAGTTTTGAAATTCGTAAAATTATGAAATTAAAAATTAAATAATTTTGGACAGAAAAATTAGTTGTGGGTCAATTTTCAATGGTTCTACTAATATCCTCCTCTTCGGTAAACAACAAAATAAAAGATTTTGGAGAATTTTTGGTGTAAAATGTCAACATTTTCCTATAATTCTTCCCGAAAATGGAAAAATTCGAATAATATATAAAACCTTTAAAGTTTTAAAATTTAGTACGATGTATGAAGTTTTGATTGAAAAATATTGCCAAAGTGGACCAACAGTACATTTGTAGTACTGAAAAGTCCTAACACAAGCTGTTGCAGCAACACCAACCAACAAGATGAACTTTTCGCTGACGAAGTAGCTGACACTTGCCAGTGCTTTGTATCTGAGGCACCCTATTAAACACGCCCATCCACCAATATGTACGTGAGTGCGTACATGCTTAAAACAAAAACATTGCTGTTCTTTTATAATTCCTATGTACGATTAAAATGCCCCTACAGACCGGAGAAAAGGAGAAGTCGCAAAAAAAAAACCCTTTCATTAAACGTGGTTACGCTCAATTAAATTTATTGTTTGTCATTTAGATAGATTGCAATGTTTTCCTTCCTGCGGCAATGCCATTCTTCATATTAGCCACTTCTGGCCGGGCTAAAACAATAAAACAGTTTTTCTAATACATGCGTACCTGGGGTGCAAAAATGTGTTCTCTTTTAATTACTGATAAATGACAACAATTCCTATAATTTGCAAATATTTGATTGCTATTTGCCATAAAAATTATGTGTGGTTATGTGTTTGCAATGGGGAAGTCAGTGAAACGGTAATCCGTGGAGTATGAGTTCGGACAATAATTCTTAACAGAAATTAAGAAGTATTAAAATATTTTCGATTTGCTGTACAACAAAATTCAACTTCGTGCATAATTTTCGAATTAAGATTCCCTAGAATCTTCGTATTTTAGGTATACAGGGTGAGATGGAAAAACTGCAACCAACTTCAGACTGCTGTCATTTCTAACCCACCCAAGAATGGTTACAAAATGAGGTTCCTCGCTTCATTTCCAGCGAACAATGGCCACCAATCCGTTGGACTATTGTGTCTGGAGTATTTTGGAAAGCAAGGTTCGCACTAAAAAATACCAAAGTGTCGATCACCTCAAGCAAGCGCTTCGCCGGTAATGGGTCAAAATACCGCATAGCAACATTCGGGCATCGTGTGATGGTTTCATTAGCCGTTTGAAGGCCATAATTCATGCCCAAGGTGACCGATTCTAAAATTAGATGCTATTTCCGACATTTTTTGATTTCATTCAATAAAATGTAAAAAAAAGTTATGGCGTTTTACTTTGTTGCAGTTTTTTTTATCTCACCCTGTATATTGTCTTCGTCAATATTGCTGATAACAATACCAGGACTATTATGATCGAAACGTAAGAAAACGAAAGTATCAGTCGGATGCATACCTTCAGCCAATGTTCGATTTTTTTATACCCTCCACCATTCTATGGAGGGTATATTAACATTGTCATTCCGTTTGTAACTCCTCGAACTCCTGGATCAGCGTAAAATTCCACAACTATCTATTGATGTCCGCCTGTCTGTCTGTCCGTCCGCCTGTCTTGTGTAATCACAATATATTTCGAACGAATTTAGATAAAAGGCTAAAATTTTATGCAAATATGCATAGTTTACCGGTAAGCAGGTTAAGTTCGTAAATGGGCCATGTCGGTCCAATTTATCGTGTAGCCCCCACACAACGGTATTAATGGGTACTACAACCTATGGCAAAAAATTTCGTATGCAGGTTTCAAATTTCGTATTTGAAGTTCATAATAGGTACTACAGTTTATGACAAACCTTTTTGTATGCAGGTCCATGTCTTCATATAGCCCCCATATAACGGTTCTTCTCGATAGTTGGTATTTTGATGATTTCTGCAACATTATTCACCAGAATTGATTCAAATTTCCTATTGGAAGATCTTAATAGGTACAACAGCATATGACAAAATTTCGTATGCAGGACCACGTCTTCGTAAGCCCCCGTAAGATTTTAGCGGCATTATTCACTGGAACTGTTGAAATTTGATATTTAATGTTTATTATGGGTACTACAGCTTTTAACAAATAATTTTGTGAAAATGGGCCATTCAGGTCCACGTCTTCGTATAGCCTACATATAACAGTACCTCCCGATATTCGGTATTTTGATTATTTTAGCAATATTATTTACCGGAATTGTTTCAAATTTGGTATTTGAATTTCGTAATGGATACTGCAGTCTAAGACAGAAAATGGGCCATGTAGGTCCGAGTCTTCGTTAGCCCCCATATAACGGTACCCCCCGATATTCGGTATTTTGATGATTTTCGCGACATTATTTACCAAAAATTGTTTCAAAATTGGTATTTAAACTTCGTAATAGATACTACGGCTTAAGACAGAAAATGGGCCAGGTAGATCAACGTCTTCGTATAGCCTCCTTATAACCGAATCTCCCGATATTGGGTATATTGATGATTGTAGAGACATTGATGATTGTAGATTCACCGGGAATGTTGCAAATTTGTTGTTTTAAGTTCAAAATGGATACTACAGCCTATGACAGAAAATTGTGTGTGCAGGTCCACGTGTTCGTATAGCCCCATAAAACGGTACCTGATTTCAGCGACATTATTTACCGGAATTGTTTCAAATGTGGTATTTGAAGTTCGTAATGGATGCTACATACTAAGACAGAAAATGAGCCACGAAGACGTAGACCTAGTCTTCGTATAGCCCCCATATAACGGTACCACCCGATATTGGTTATTTTGATGATTTTAGATACATTATTTACCGGAACTATTTAAAATTTTGTATTTGAAGTTCGTAATGGATACTACAGCCTAAGACAGAAAATTGTCTGTGCAGGTCCGCGTCTTCGTAAACCCCCCATATAACGGTACCTCCAGATAATCGGTATTTTAATTATTTTAGGGTCATTTTTCAGCAGAATTGTTTCAAATGTTACCTACGCAGGTTCATGTCGTCGTATAGACCCTAATATAAAGCTACATTCTGTGTTTTTAAGATTTTAACAGAATTTTTAACGGTTTTTTTTTATTTTTGAGAATTGCCAAATTCGTTCCAAATGGTGGAGGGTATTCAAAGTTTGGCCCGGCTGAATTTAGCTGATTTTTTTTATACCCTCCACCTTGGAAAGGAGGGTATATTAACTTTGTCATTCCGTTTGTAACATCCCAAAATATTCGTTTTAGACCCCATAAAGTATATATATTCATAATCAGCATAAAATTCTAAGTCGATTTAACGATGTCCGTCTGTCTGTCTGTCCGTCTGTCTGTCTGTTGAAATCACGATACAGCCCACATTATTTGACGTAGAGCTCCAAAATTTAGCAGAGCTATTTGCATTGTGTCTAGGATGGTTGGTATTGAAAATGAGATATATCGGTCCACGTTCTGGTATAGTCCCCATATAACGGTACCTCCCGATATTCGGTATTTTGATGATTTATGTCACATTTTTTCACGGATTTGTCTTAAAATTGGTATTTGTAGGTCATAGCTGGTCCCTGAGCGTGTGGCAAAACATTGCATGTATAGGTCCACGTTGTGGTATAGCCCCCATATAAAGGTACCTCCCGATATTTAGTATTTTAGTTTTTTTTTTACCACATTTTTTCACCGATTTGTCTAAAAATCGGTATTTGTTGGTCATAATGGGTTCCAGCTCCGGTGGCGAAACATTGTAATTATAGGTCCACGTTTTGGTATAGCCCCCATATAACGGTACCTCCCGATATTCGGTAATTTGATGATTTTTGCCACATTTTTTCAGGGATTTGTTCGAAAATTGGTATTTCTTGGTCATAATTGGTTCCAGCTTCGGTGGCGAAACATTGCATGCATGGGTCCATGATTTGATATAGCCCCCATATAACGGTACCTCCCGATATTCGGTATTTTGATGGTTTTTGCCACATTTTTTCACTGATTTGTCTAAAAATTGGTATTTGTGGGTCATAATGGGTTCCAGCTCCGGTGGCGAAACATTGTAATTATAGGTCCACGTTTTGGTATAGCCCCCATATAACGGTACCTCCCCATAATCGGCATTTTAATGGTTTTTGCCACATTTCTTCTAATGTTTCTTTTACCCTAAGGTGGAGGGTATTAAAAGTTTGGCCCGGCCGTACTTAATGTTTTTTTACTTGTTATTTGTTTACTTTAGATTGAAATTCAATGGAAGACGCCTAAATATTCCCATTTATTGGCTAGAAAGGGTATCCCATAGTGGAGGTCGAACTTAGCGACTTCCTTACATTTCGATTAAAACACACGCCCATTTTTTTGTAATACTTTTGAGCTAATTTTTATTATTTTTTGTTTTCTTTTCCATTATTATAATAAAAATAAAAAGAAGAATAATTATTACACCTAGATATCTATAAGCTACGATGATAAATATTAATTATTTTAAGGTTTTTTTTACAGATATATAAATATAATTTATACACAACTTAAATATTCTAAACATTTATTGATGAACGATTTCCAGCGGTAATTCCAATTGTCAAAATAAATAATAATACGGAACACAAAGAACTCTCTAATATACAGCAAATTTTGAAATCCATTTTCCATATATTATTTTTTCAAACATTTACTAGCAAAAATTTACAGATTTTTTTTTTTTTTTAAATTAAATAATGAGTTTTTTTTTTTTATTTTAACTTAAATATTTTCATTATAACTGACATAAATAGATATTTGATGATGTGGCTAAATTGTTGCCGTTGTTAAAATCTGTACAAAATTAATTGATAATCCTCATGTTTTGTGTTCAATTGGATTTTAAATACTTTTTTTAATTTACTTAATTATTTAATTTAGTGGAAATAAAAAAACAATAATTAACAATAATACATTGATACAACAGTACTGGTATACATACACTAGCGTAAGAATTTATTGAGCCTGTTTTGGCCATAATCTCATATTTGGCCATGATTTTTTGCTACCATTTCGACAAGATCCCGAATACTTTTCTTAATGGAGCGAAATTGTACATAATTTTGCCTTTTAAGCCATATGAAGTAAATGTCAAATGATAATCTCATTTATTGTAGATCTTCCGTTTTAGCCAGTTTTAATCCCATCTCACCCGTTTCGAATGACCTCAAACCTGTATGTGATCCTCATCATCCGATTGATTTTGTGATGAGCTATCAATTGAACGTCCTGGTGGACTACCAGGATTCAGGGTGGGACTTGGCGATCTTGTGCCGGCATGAACTGGTGATGACTCGGCCAATGGGGTGGGTGAGGGACTAGTTGGTATGGGCTTAATGACACCACCACCTCCCCCAGCTACACCATTACCACCCAAAACTCCAGCCGCCGTTGGTCCATTGGCTGCATGTGGCGGTGATGTGGGGGGATTTGTTTGAGCTGCTGTTGCACTCTGATAATAACTACTTAGCGATGACAACGAACTGGACGCTGTCAAATGTGAGAAGGGAGCTGCAGCAGCTGCCACCGGTAAACCAGCCAAGTGGCTCATATTTGGTACACCAGCATAAAGACTATAGGGTAGAGGTTTTTGCATAGCTGCCGCAGCGGCAGCTTGACGATAATATAAATCAATGGAATTGGGTGGGTGACCGGCATGGGCTGCCTGGGCTCCAGGATATGGCCAGGCACCGATGTAGGGAGAACCGCCATACAAACGTTGGAATGCAGCGAAATTGCCCGCTTCGGCGAGAAGTTCGAGGCCTACGGCTGTTTGTCGTTTCCACTTAGTTCTGCAAGAAAAAACCAAAAGGAAAACAATTGATTAGTGAGTTGTTAGGGAAACACAAAACAAAGTCTATGAGAAAGAGAGAGAGAGAATGATAGGTAGATAAATAAGAACAGGAGTACAAAATATTTTTGGCTAACTCCGAGGTCCCATAAAGCAATAATCGAGGATATTTTGAGATATTTTTGAGAAACGTCGGAGAAATTTTCGAAGATTTTTTCACAAATGTTATCGAGATCGGTTTAGATTCGCATATAACGCCTCTACATATTTTTGTCGGATTTCACGATAATTGTGCACCAAATGGTTAATATCAGCCTAAATGGAATAGATTGGGGCACATACGCCAGATTTCGACCTAGAAGGCGAGAATCGGTTCAAATATAGCTGTAGCTTCCATATATATACTTCATCCGATTTGGTGTTTAAGTCCCTAACATGCGTAATTTTCACTCTACAACAATGATATTTGGTACTAGATATTGGATACAGCTCAGAAATACCTCCGACCTCTGAGATCTGTTCAGATTTGGGTATAGATCCCATATATAACTCTATCCGATTTTACGTTATATTGCACCAAATGTGCAATATCAGTCCAAATTGGATGGATTTTTCCACATTCATTCTAACTCGGCTCTCTCATATCTATTTATTGCTTCGAAATATATTTCGGAATATAATCCTTCTTGAAATCATATCGTAACGTACTTGATACAAATGTTCGGTCTATGTCGATTTAGCGATGTCTGTTTGTCTGTCTGTTCGTCTGTTGAAATATCTCAAGCTTCCGAACAAATTGAAGTAAGTTTATAAAATTTTGCTCAGATGTGTCTTTGTGCTGCAGGACTTTTGGCATTGAAAATAGGCTGTGGTGGTATAGCCACCATATAACTATACCTCCATATATTCGGTATTTTTATGATTTTAGCGACACCGGAATTGTTTCAAATTTCGAATTTAAAGTTCTTAATTGGTACTAAAGTCTATAATAGACAATTGTAGATGCAGGTTCAGGTCTTCTTATAGCCCCCCTATACCATCGATACCTCCCTATATTCAATATTTTGACAATTTTAGATATATTATTCTCCCGAATTTTTTTTTCAAGTTTCTTATTTGAAAAATTCACGTATTCGTACAGACCCCTATATAACAGCAACTCCCTATTTGGGTATTTTTAAGATATTAACAGAATTTTTAACAAATTTTATTTTTTTTTTTTTTTTTGAAAATTTCCAAATTCGTTCCAAAGGATGGAGGATATTCAAAGTTCATCTCGGGGTTTTTATTGTTTTATTTTATATTTATTTTTAATAGAAACAGTTACCCAAATACGGTTCCAAAAACACCTATACTTGACTACTCTACTCTGTTGTGTCTCAATCTGAAATATAAATACCACCCCTTTTAACATTTACCACAGATCCTCACTTTTCTGATTCCCCTACCAAAAAAAAACTTGCGAAAAAAACTGCACTTCCCCCTTCAAACACAAAACATATTTCGCGCTCATTCTTGTGGACTCATGCACTTATATATTTGTAAATGTATAGTTGCTGTAATTGTTCTCATTGTTGTTGTTGCTGTTTTTTATGGTTTCAAATAGCTTTTAATGTTGGCTGTTAAATGTGCAGCTACCAAAAGTGGTAATTAAAAAAACGCAACTGTAAACACACTAACCAAGTCAATAAAACACACAGAGACAAAAACAAAAAAAAAAAAAAACCAGTAAGGAAAGCTCAAAAGTCGGGCGGGGCCGACTATATGATACCCTACACCACTATGCATATTTAGTAGAGCTCTCGTAAAAAGGTTTATACAGGGCATTTCAGAGCTCTATGAGATATTTGGTACAAAATCAAAATCTATCTAATTCTATCGTGCATTTTACGAACTATAGCTATATCTGAACCGATTTTCACCAAGTTTGATGTATTTGATTCTAGGCTGAATTCGGTCAGATTTGCCAAAACCCAGGACATTTGGGCTGATATTGGACATTTGGTGCGCAATCAACACGAAATTGGATGAATATATATATAGGAGGTATATCCAAATCTGAACCGATATTTGTAAAACTGAAAAAGAAGATATTTCTTGGCTGCATCTGATACCAAATATTATTCTTGTATCGTACATTTTTCGAATTTGAGGGACTTAAAGTACAAATCGGATGAAAGGTATATATAGGAGCTATAGCTGTATCCGACCGATTTTCACTAAATTTGATGTACCAATATTAGCCATTTGCTGCACATTTAATCCGAAATCGGATGAAGATGTATTTGGGAGCTATAGCTATATCTGAAACGACTTTTACTAAAATTGGTGTCCTTGCTTCTAGGCTGAATTTGGGCAGATATGCCAAAATTCATGCCATTTCGGTTGATATTGGCCATTTGTTGCACAATTAACTCGAAATCGAATGAAGATACATATGGGTGCTATATCCAAATCTGAACAGATTTTGAGAAAATTAAAAGCGACTACTTTTGGGCTTTATCTGATATCTGGTACCAAATATCATTCCTGTGAAGAGTATGCTATGCTATACTATATCCAAATCTGAACAGATTTTTATAAAATCAAAATCGACTATTTTTGGGCTTTATCTGATATCTGGTACCAAATATCATTCCTGTGAAGAGTATATTACGAATGTAAGGGACTTAAAGAGCAAATCGGATGAAACATATATATGGAGCTAGAGCTATATCTGAACCGATTTTTACTAAAATGTGTGTACTTGCTTATAGGCTGGTTTCGGTCGGATTTGCCAAAATTCATGCCATTTGGGCTGATATTGGCCATTTGATGCACAATTAACACGAAATCGGATGAAGATATATATGGGAGGCATATCCAAATCGGAACAGATTTTAATAAAATTAAAATCAACTATTTTTGGGCTTTATCTGATAACTGGTACCAAATATCATTTCTGTGGAGTGCATATTACGAATGTGAGGGATTTAAAGACGAAATCGGATGAAACATATATATGGGAGCTATAGCTATATCTGAACCGATTTTTACTAAAATTGGTGTACTTGCTTTTAAGCTGGTTTCGGTCGGATTTGCCAAAATTGATGCTATTACGGCCATTTGGTGGTCAATAACCCGAAATCGGATGAAGATATATATGGGAGCTATATCCAAATCTGAACCGATTTCGATAAAATTTAAAACAGTTATTCCTGTGCTCCATCTAATACCTGGTACCAAATATCACATGTAAGGGACTAAAACACTAAATCGGATGAAACATATATATGGTTGCTATATCTGTATCTGAACCGATTTTCACTAAATTTGATATACTTGCTTCTAGGCTGAATTTAGTCCGATGTACTAAAATTCAGTCCATTTGGACTTATATCGGCCATTTGGTGCACAATTAACCCGAAATCGGATGAAGATATATATGGGAGCTATATCCAAATCTGAACCGATTTCGATAAAATTACAAACAGCTATTTCTGGGCTGTACCTTATATCTGGTACCAAATATCACGGTTGTGGAGTGAACATTACGAATGTAAGGGACTAAAACACTAAATCGGATGAAACATATATATGCTTGCTATATCTATATCTGAACCGATTTTCACTAAATTTGATATACTTGCTTCTAGGCTGAATTTGGTCCGATGTACTAAAATTCAGTCCATTTGGGCTTATATCGGCCATTTGGAGCACAATTAACCCGAAATCGGATGAAGATATATATGGGAGCTATATCCAAATCAGAACCGATTTTCTCCAAATTTGTTGTATTTACTTTAAGGCTAATCTCGGTCACATGTGCCAAAATTCGGGCCATTTGGGCTGATATTGGCCATTTGGTGGTCAATTAACCCGAAATCGGATGAAGATATATGGGAGCTATATCCAAATCTGAACCGATTTCGATAAAATTTAAAACAGCTATTTCTGTGCTCCATCTAATACCTGGTACCAAATATCACGGTTGTGGAGTGCATAGTAGGAATGTGAGGGACTTAAAGATCAAATCGGATGAAAGATATATATGGGAGCTATAGCTATATCTGAACCGATTTTCTCCAAATTTGATATACTTGCTTCTAGGCCGAACCCGGTTGGGTGTGCCAAAATTCAGGTAATTTGGACTGATAGTGGACATTTGGTGCTCATTTAACCCGAAATCGGATGAAGATATATATGGGAGCTATATCTAAATTTGATCCGATTCTCACCAATTTCAATAGGGTTCGTCCTTGGGCCAAAAAAATATTGTTTGGAAAATTTCATCTCAATCGGATAATAAATGCGACCTGCATTTTGTTCACAAGAATACATGGACAGACGGACGGACGGACGGACGGACGGACGGACGGACGGACGGACGGACGGACGGACGGACGGACGGACAGACGGACGGACATGCATAAATCGACTCAGAAAGTGATTCTATGAAGGTTCTCAAAAGTAACTATGGGTCTATCTCGTTTCCTTCTCCATGTTACAAACAAATGCACAAAGACATAATACCCTTACCACTATGTGGTGTAGGGTATAAAAAAAAAAAAAAAAAACACACAACACACAACAAAATGCTGAGAAACAACTACAACAACATTGAAGTGTTAGCAACAGCCAGAAGTCATTGCTGTTTTTTTCTTTTGTTGTTAATAAATTCCACGAATTTGCAATGAGTTTTATAAGTATAAGTCATTTGCTAGACGATCTTTGCTGGTCCATGGACTAATGGTGCTGAGTACCCACTACCACCACCACCACCACCACCATCATTGCTTTGCTGCACTGCTAAATGGTCAGATTTGTGGCCAGAAGGCCCAAAGTTGTGAAAAACAACGGCAACTGAAAATTTAGCTCCCGATGCCAAAACATGATCTCCTTAAAAGAAAAGACATATAGTGTCACTGTTTGTTCACCCCTCCTCCTCCTCCTACTTTTTCTCGTGCACTCAAATAATCTCAAACCTTGATTAGATTTACTTGGCTGGCTGGCTGGTTGGTTGTTTGGCTGTTTGTTATAATTTATGGTTTGTTGCGACGTTTGTTGGCAGCCTAGCACAAGGCGCATAGTAGTAGTCGTAGTCGCAATCAGCAGTAATTTACAGATGCATATGGCAGAAAAATTGTCATATGTAAGTATGTATATGTATGTTGTAAACTGGCTGCTGCTGCTGTTGCTAATGTTTTATCTCTGACTTTTGGCATGATTTTTATGCCACCCTGAGATGCTTAGAGGAAATTTATGATACTTTTCTCCAAAAAAAAAATACTATTGCATTATCCGAGGAAGACTGGGCCATATTTCATAATTTTTCGTTTTTTACTTTTTGTCTCTTTTGCTTTAGCTTACCTTCGATTTTGATACCAGGTCTTAACCTGACAATCACTGAGATCCAATTTATGTGCCAACTCTTGTCTCTCTTGGACACTCAGGTATTTTTGGCGTTCAAATGATTTCTCCAATGTCTGTAGCTGATGATCGGTAAAGGCGGTGCGAGCTTTGCGTTGTTTTTTACTCAGACCGCTCATGTCATTGGTGGAGCCGCTCTTAATACTGTTGCCATCATCATCTTTGCCACCTAAAAGAAACACAACACAACGAAAAGAAAAGAAAAAAGGGCGGAGTGAGTTAACGGGCAAAATAAATCTTGTGGTACAACAACAACAACAAAAATAAGTAATATAAAAAAATCATAAACATAAAATTCCTTAACTACGTACATACAAAACCTTTGCAGAATATTGTTATCCAAAACTCCCCACAGAAGAAAAAAAAACAAAAGACTTAAGACACAAACTTGTTTTGGTTGCTACATTGATTTGCCAAACAACAACACCCAGTCGACGAGAGGGAGAGCAACATTAACTGAGTGAGAGTGAGAATTAAGATCTTAGCCGATAGCATACGGTTGTATGGGTTTCTCTGGTTTTTTTAATGATTTGTATTTTCGATTTTGGTTTAGTGATTTTAATTATATTTTTATAATATTTTATTGCTTTTTCTGGCGTCTGCCCCTCTGCAACTCTGTCTCTCTCCTCTCTGTTGCTCTATGTCTTAACCCCTACCCAGTCTAGCCCAGCTATTTGTATGCAAATGACATTCTTATCGTTTAGTATTTTTTTTGCCATTGATTTGTTTTGTTTGGCTTAAAACGTTTCAACAAATTGTTTTAATTTCTTTATGGCTCTTTTTCTATATAAGTATATTTATTGTGGTTTTTGTAGACAAGTCTTTATGCAAATTTCCCCAATGGAATTTTATGTTCAATGGGTGTTTGATTGGAAATTATTTTTAGGTTGTTTTTTGTTTGGTTTCAAATTTATTTGCCATGAATTAATAATTTCAGTTTTTTGTTAAATAAACGTTTAGGAGGAGTTTTGTTGTGGTAAAGTGTTCATGGTAATTTTAATTTATAATTAAATATCAAAAATATATTTTTTTCTCTTCGACATCTCGAAAATTTCGAGCTAAGTATTGAAAGTGATGCATTTTAAATTTTGGATATATAGTTTAGAGAAGTGTTGCCAGAAATATTTTCTCCACAAAATAATAAAACATTTAGTTGTTTTGCATATCTCCTCACGTCTCCAAAAAGGGATGATGGGAGATTTCCGTTCAAATTCTTATTCCTGCCACCACGAGATGAAGAGGAATTAATGTACCCCCTGTTTTTCCATTTGAACTTGACCGATGATGTTCAGATATGGTCACCATCTATTATTCCGATTTATGGAATTTGAATATTTCTATTTTCCAACCAAATTATCGCTAATTTAGTTTTCTCAATATTTAATATATCTTTCTGCCATTTTTCTTATAGAATCCAAATAACCTCCCTTACTAAAGTAATTTGAGGGGTTTTTATTTCCACCCAAATAAAGTCTTAACATGGAGGTTCCTGAGGAACCTCTGAATGTCCCTTATTTGGTATGACCCCGATAATTTCAACTACGATTCTCAATGGAGCAGACTGATAATAAATAATTAAATAATTAAAATTGGACTTTCGAAAAAATCAATATAGGTTTTTGTCTATGTTTTGAAGATACTGACAACAACCTAAATCATTTTTCCAACTGGCGATTTTAAGAGGTCATAAATGTAGGTCCCTCATTTGCTATGGACTCGAAAAATTAAAAAAATAGGATCTCAAGTTCAAGTCTATCTTGTAGGAGTCTATAAATATTGGTCCCTTATTTTGTATGACCTCGAAAATTTCAGCTCAAATATCCAAGATAAAGCGATGTCATTTCAAAAATTGTGACGCCATAAAAGTTTGACCCCTGAACAAATTTCAATATTAGTTCACGTTTTGACCTAAGTCCACATAGCCATAAAAACCACGTTCAGATGTTTTCAAGGTCCTGGGAACAGCATTTCCTAACCAAATTATGTGTATTTTTAGAGGTTCTAAAAGGCCTCGAAATTTTCAGCTTCATTTTCATTTGCAATTTGGGATATCATAAAATTAAAAATTCGACCAATAAAAATTTTTAGGCTCATATTTTGAAATAATCCCAAAATAAGGTAAACTGATGGTGTTAAGGTCCTGGCTAGATCTTATGGTAAAATGGCTGAAATTTGATTTTATAAAATTTAAAAAGAAAGAAAATCCTTAAAAAAATATTCGACCGAGGTCCAGTTTTTGAAAAGGTCGACAAATAACAGTATGTCCGATTTATGAAGATTCTGGACAAATTTATGAGCAAATGTCATTATATTTTGAAGATTCTGGACAGGTGAATGCTCTACCATGTCGTATTTCAGGTTTATACCCGAAATACCCATTGCGGGGGAGGTACCAGAAGAAGTGAGCCGATATTGAGTATTTTCAAACCAGATCTTGCTTTAATAAAAATACTGGGATGTGCCGAATTTGAAAGGAATCGGTTGTTTATTTTTCCTTGTATTTAAAAATTTGACTCGTTGTGGGCGAAGTACTGGAAGGGCTGGTTTGCTCTTGGAATCAGATCTTGTGCTGCTAGAAATATTAAGATGTGCTAAGTTTGAAGACAATTGAAGTCTTATTTCACATTTTTCAGTCCAAATGTTGATTCTTTGTGGGAGAGGTACTTTATGGAGAGGGCCGATATTTTCCATTTTCGCACCTTACCTAGCACTAGCAAAAATATTAGGGTTTGCAAAATTGAAATCGTCCTTCTTTCTCTTCGAGAGTTATCGTTCGCCAGCCATACAGACGAACAGACACCCCTAGATTGACTGAAACGGATTTGATCCAAATTTGAGTCTAAATCCTTTATTTCGATGAAGGACAATTTCGCAAAATACTTTTTTTTCTTTTCATTTTCACTTAAAATAATTCGGCTGAATTTTCAAAAATATACCAAAATTCGAGTCCCGCACCCTGCCAAACATACTACCGAAGGCAAATCATTTAAGTTTTATGTTGTTCAACAGCAGGCTAATGAATTTTTTGCACAATTTATTACCACCCAAACAATTTCCCTTGAAGACAAGTTAATTACAGCAAAAAAAAAAAAAAAAAAAACTTCCTCCACCACAAAGCGCCAACCCTCTCGCTATTTATTACCCAAAAAATATAATAGGTAAATTACATTAAAACACTAATGTACGAAAAAAAAAAAACAAATTTTTTAAATGTTTCCCCCAAAAAAAGTAATCTCCTCCTCCTTCATAATTCCAAAACAACGCAGAAGTGAAATTTTCAAAACCTGGCAGAAGAGCTCAGCATAGAAACCGGCGTTTTTTTAAACAAACAGACATAAAATGTTTGTTGGCTTGTTTGTTTTGTTATTTGTTTTTTCTTTGGCGAATGACTGTCTGTTATTTGAACATTTTTGGCGGATGTAGCGATTATTTTCGTTATGTGGCAAAAACTGCTTCTCCAAGAGCCTAGAGGGAACCCTACTACTTTGCCCAGCATTATTCACATTGTTGGTCACCTCAGTGTGTGTGTAGCCAGTTCAGTTTTGTCTATTTATTCCATTTTCTTTTTATTCACATGATATTTTTTGGTTGGCATATGAATTTATGTTGCCCCCACGTCCAAAAGAGGTAATTTTTAGGCAAAACGAAAAAGAATTATGGCTTTTTAATATGTTGCTTTTAGGCTTTTAAATATTCCATGGCTATTATCGAAAGCTAGGCAGTTATGAATTAGATGTCCATAGGTATTTTCAAAAAAAAAAAAAAAAGAACCCTAAAAGTATTATTAGCAAAGCCATGTGATCATGAATTAAACTTAATGTTGTACATCCTCCTACCCATTCTGGGCTAGACCAAATCATAGCAATTTTTTTTGCAATACCTCTTTCTTTGTTTTATTGTTTATTTAGAAGCAGGAAGTTTTAGTACATCTTTTTCTCTATTTTTTTTTTCAATTTAACTACAAGCCATATTGTATATTAACTGATATTAGAGTAAATTATATGGCATTTCATTTGGCTGAACATTCTATATTGTATTATATGTTAGTATGGATGGATATTCATGTGTTTATGTATGTGCAATTATGTTTGATTCTGTTTACAAGTAATGTTGGGGTATTTTTGCGCTTCAATGCTTGGCCAGCATGGAGTAGGTCTTGGTTTTTTCTCGTTTATTTTTTATGTATTTCTTGCTTTAGAAACACCCACTCAATAAAGGCAAATGCGTGGATAAAATGGTCTTTTGATTGAAATGAATGGAATTTAAAGCAAAAATAATCTGGGCTGAAACAGAATATCATAGAAAACCAATTTCTAAAAATTAAATGGCATTGAATCGCATTGATTTTTTTGAAATCAGTTATGACAAAAAAATTTTTGGCGTATTTTTAACGGAAAAATTCGTTGAGCCCTTCGAAGACGTTGCAATTTTACATCCAACTTAAAAGTTTCCAAATTTTTGAAAAAATTTGGTAGGAAAACTATTTTTTCCCAAAAATGTTTAATAAAATTTTGCTTAACTGATTCCAAAAATTTCGGAAATTATTCTCAACCGGAAGAAAATCGTCTATTTTGAGATTCATAAATTCAAAAAATCAATAATTATAAAAGAAAGTCTTATTAGTTACTATATTTGAAACTCAAGAACGGCTTTGCCAATATGGCTGGATAAATTTAAAATTTTGAATTTAGGGAAGAATGTCGCTGATATAGTTAGGATAGATACACTACAGTTTTTTTTTTTTTTTGAAATTCGGACTAAAAATGTGGCAAAAATCTCAAAAGTACCTTATCCGGTACTATTTGGTATTATACGAAAGGATAAGAATTTATTTGGTTAACTAGGGTTGATACAAGGAGGTGGTTTTTGAAATGTGTACTGAGTGTAAAAATTGTACTAATTTGTTACAAATTGGATTTTGGAGAAGGGATAAAGCTGGATATTTTAAATGTTGATATTGAGGTCACTCTAGTGTGTAGGATTGAGATTTGAAGGTGGTTTTGGAAATATGTACTAAAAATTTCGAAAAGTACTCATTGGCATTAAATTTGGTATATGAGGAAGGGATAGAGCTGGACATCTGAAATTAAGTATTGGGCCACTTTTTGTGAGGTGGAGGTGGATATATGAAGATTGATTTTGAAAAACGTACAAAAAATTACGAAAAGT